TCTAGCACCAATTTCCACACACTTCCCCAGTTTAAAGACCTTAAAACCACATTTACAGAGTCGGAAATAAGTTGTAGAAGCTAGAAACTTCAGTGTTTGAAGCTCGTTTGCTGGATTAAAGCTCAAAATTGCACCGACTCGCAGGAAAGCTGCACAAAGAGGCCGAAAGCCGACACCACTCGAGTTGAGGTTGTATACAAAATTTGCACCCAAGCGGGCGGCGGACCTCCGACACCAAATGCTGAAAATTACCAATTTCTTTCCTCAGAATAACGTTCAAAACTTGTCTTACCTGTCCCAAAGGACCCTAGGTATGGAGCTTCGGGGACGTTTCCTTGCTTTGCTGAGGTAAAAGCGAGCAACAAGTCGAGTTTGCCACCTCTATCCGCAGCCAGCCAGAAAATTCAAACCCAAGATGGCGTGGTCTAACGAACCTGGGCATGCACCTCGGAGCCCTCCGCCAGAAAATAGTCCAACAAAACAAACCTTCTTTCTTTCCCTTTAGTCCACTGAATCAAACATCTAGCATATGAATTATATAAAAACTGACCTTTTCTTAGAAGTTCGTACACTTGTAGCTCAGATAGAGGCTTTCTTGGTGAACTTTGGGATTTTCAAGTGCCACACAAATGCGGATTGTTCTATGACCCGACCGCTTCACGATACTAATTGGGATTCGTCCATTTTGCAGACAACAGGAAAGGTGTCGATATTAGATGCAGAAAGGAAACTAAAAATGAAATTAACTCATAAAATATAACTTGATTGTATATATTTCTAACCATTGGCAATGTATATTCTTTGATCAAGAAATTCTTTTGCTTGAAATAGGTAGTTATGAGTGATTCTTTCCCTGTCAATATTCCAAACTCCCCTTCTTTATTGTAAACTATGACTTGGACGAGCCCACTCAGTCGATTGGAATGCGACAGCCGCGCTGCAAACAAAGGAATGCTAAAAACAAGAAAGTTAAACAAATCTGACCAAAAATTCACAATTTTCTTCAATATTCCTGTGCAGAAAGATTCAATTTACGCCCCATCTTCATTTCCTGCCAAAATAATGAGGCAAACTATTTACTTTCAATATTTTCCTGTCCTTGTTTTGGTTTAGTCATGTGACCTTCTTTCAGGTGTTCCAGACTTCTCAGGTTTCCGACCTTCGGCCCGCCTGTGTCTGGGTACGTCACAGGAATGCGTTTTTCCTCTTTATTCATTCCAGAATCATTCGCGAGGAAAAACCGTCAATAAAAGGAACCACAACACCGTTTAGGTTTCCCTCCCACACAAGTGGGGGGATTACAATGGAATGAGTCAGTTTCCTGAAGCAGGTGAGGTCACACACCTGAGCGTGGGCTGGGGCAGGGCGAGGTTCTCAGGTGTCAATGTTGACTCAGCAGGCTGCATGAGATTGGGGCCATTTAACATCAGAACAGCAGCCGTTGTGTAACGTTATATCGCACAGGAAACGAGCTTTGCTTATCGAACTGTCCATCTGTAACCACTACTTTGCTTCCCTATTCATTGAACTTTGCTTAGATTTTCAGCCTCACAAAACTCAGCAAAGCTGAAATATGTATTGGTGAAAGAAGAAAATAAAACAAAGTTATAAAACTGTACCTGAACTAGCTACAACATTTTCCCGCCATTACTTAATAATATGCGCATTATTGTGAAGTTTGCATCTTTGTATTTTCCTAAGAAGGGTATTTTCCTAAGAAGGGTGCCAAAAAGGATTGTAATCTGCCCAGAATTCTTACGCGTATCATTAACTAACGTTGCTAGGCATCAAATTCAACACCAAGCTCTCCAATCCGCTATTCTGCAAAGTTTAGGAAAGTAAAATAAATGAACTTGGAAATGGTTGGCGCAAGGCTAGCTAGCAGTGCTAGTATTAGCGCCATTATTTTCCGCTAGAGGGCGCTTCTGAGTGGTGTACTCACACTGTCAGCCAGAAACTCTGGTGCGAGACTCCGCCAGTGACCATCATGGCTGTCGCTTGCAGAAACACGATTCCTTGCTTATCCAAACGGTTACAAAACTCACTATTCGTGACCTACAACACTGTACAACGAGCGTCTTCGCTAGCTCAGGATCCAGGGAACCAGAGAGGCCCTCAGCGAGGCAGGAGAAGAAGGGACGACGGGATAGTTAACCCTAGCAGACGACCCATGGTGCCAAGGACAGCGAAGATGGCGGAGGATCAGGACTGGCCCAGTGTCTGGCCGACTGCGGCCACGTTCAAACCGTCCGCTGTGCCGCTACCTGTGCGGATGGGCTTCCCTCTCAACAGGCAGGGCTTCTTCTCTATCGTTTATAGGTCATAACTGTCATAATTGCCGGTTAGTCTCATGCTTTGGAAGTATTGGAAACAGAATTTCAAGTATCAAGCTCAAGTTCCATAAATTTTCAAATGGATATATCGGTATATAACTTTATACTTTATACTTTAAAAACAAGTTATACTTTTCGACATGGGCTGTTTGTGGCAGCAATATTTTTCTTCTTCAGTCTCAGTAAATTTGCAGATTTAAAACCCAACCCGCTCACCCAGAAGTGGCACAGGTGAAGACGATTAGATTAAAGACCAGTCAATTTTTGTCATAGATCACATGTACAAAATCAAGTTTATATCATCAGTACAGTACAGTTTGTTCCTAGTGTTGTTGCATTGTTAGGAGACTCTAGTGCTAGTATCTGGTATGTAATATTTCTTACACCATGTACTGACATACATACCACTGTGTACCAACAGGGGAGTACAGCCTGACAAATTCGGCAACAACGAGCTCCGGAAGATCCCAAACTTTCTCCATCTGACGCCGGTAGCAGTGAAGAGGCACTGCAAGGTGCGAATTTTGTTTGTTTGTTTTGCATAACTGGTAAACAGCCTTAAGGCATAACACGTAATTTTGTATCAGTAGTAAGTACAAGCTGCGTAAAACCAGACTGTAAGGTTTGAACCACTCACACTGGGAAGGACCCTACTCTAACATAGACCTGGAGGATGTGTAGAGGTGCTACGCCCCCTGGAGGGGCATGTGGAGCTGAGTGAGTGAGTTCTTTCACATGCTCGAGGTGTGGCTTCTCAAATACAAGACTTCTGGCTTTAGCAAAGTTTATGTCCCATCTGAGAGGACATCCCTTACCAAACCTAGTCTAGGTACTCATTTCCACCTGATTCAAATGAGAAAATAGGTGTGAAGTGCCTTTCCCAAGAGCAGAACATCAGAGCCTGCCAGGGATTCGAACCCAGAACCTTTAGATTCTACAACCCTAACCGCAAGACCACCCTCCCTCCCTGCAGGTTCTGAAGCAGTTCTGTACCGACTGGCCGGCTGCGCTGGAGACAGACGAGGCTTGTGAGGAACATTTTCCCCTGGAGGTCATCACGACGGACTATGTGCTGTCTGGGCCGTCATTGCGACATCCTGATGCCAGGATCGTCACATTAAAGGTAGAAAATCACCCATGAGTAAATGTATGAGGTTGGCAAGAGACTGTATACATGTAAAAATGTTTTGTTTTTTTTCAAAAACCAGTGGGTTTGGAACTGTACTGTGGGTTTGGAACTGTGATTCTGAAGCAGCAATGCCTAGCTTCAGCACGAATCAGAACCAGTCATCGTTGTCAGAACTTCTCAATTTTTTCTCATGTTCCATCTTCACACTCTCACAGCTCAAACTGTCCCGGCTGCAACTTGACGAACACGCCAGGAAGAAAATTCTGAAGCTTGTCGGCGACAGGTTTGTTTGTTTGTTTGTTAGTGATTAATCACCATTAGTAAAAATCAAGTCATAAATTTGTATTTACTTAACTTCCTAGAGTTCTTTCTTACACAAATACTAGAATATATAAATCCCCCTTGAATAGATTATACCATCTTAGACAACACAATCACTTAGGAAGCCTAACGATAAGAAATGAGACAAAATCATCAGCTGTGTCTATCAGTTTCTGGGAAGTTAGAATCTGAAATGCCAAGGTTTCTTGTACAGATTGTGTTCTTTCATGACAAGAATGATGCTTTGTTAGTATGTATCTGTAGAACCTAAGATCACACAGGCAGCCTTATTAGCTGGCTACAACATGGTTTTGGCATGTGCTATTTTCTCGAAATAAACAAATGTTTTTATGTATCAATTCAGATATGACAAGGAGTCAGACATCCTCACCATCACAGCAGACAGATGTCCCCACCGCAGACAGAACTATGACTACACACGCTACCTCCTGACCGTGCTGTACCTGGAGGCCTGGAAAACTGAACCCTGGGAGGCCGGCATCACTCCCGAGGATCGTGACGAGTTTCTGTGGGAGGGCAGCCCGTCGGAACACAACATCCTCAGCACCATGAGAGCCATCCAACAGGCTGACAAGGGAGGCAGTGATACACCAGAGGAGGACATTGTACAGAATTCTGATGTACAGCTGTATAAACAGGCTGTGGTGAACCAGAAGAACCATGGAGAGAGTTCTGAACATGTGCAGGGTTACAAGGACTCAGTCAAAAGGCTACTGGGACTAAACTGAACTGTTAGATTGAGACTGAGAGACTCTGTGGGTAGTGAAATCAAAGAATTGTTGTTCATACATAGATTTTTACATTAACTCAAGTTGATATACTGTACAATGTACTGTGATCTAGCAATGTCATAAAAATGGAAACTAGCTATGATTACTCCTGATTAAATCTTGTACATAAATCTATTTGTGTGGTCTTTATTTTCATGGTTTAGCTTTACCAAGAAGGTTAAATACTACTACATGTACATGTACTTCCTTGGCTTTACCGGTACTAATGAAATGATGAAGATACCTTTCAACAGACAAGAACAGTCAAGGTTTCCTGAGTACAACATGCCAGACAAGGTTTATTACTTATGTTAGACACACTTAAGTGACAGACAACAGTGCACAGATACACAGAAAAATACATTTCCATATAAGGCCACACCAATTTAATTTCTTGGTTAACGGATTTTTGTAGAAAAATAATGGAGCGGGCGGGCGAAAAAAAAATAAAAACAGGCCTAGGCATCGTATTATGGCCCAAAATGGTACGATAGGAGCCATGAAGTCAACACACCAGGCTGGTTCAAAATTTAAACAATGAATTTTGAACTTTTAATGATACCATTGCATTGAAAGATGGAATAACTGTAACAACTAGGATGAAAAGGACTGTTTTCAACTGTTCAGGGCAAAATATGAGCATTTTGCAGTTGATTCTGAATTTTTATTTTTATTTGCAAATCAGAAAAAAATGAAGCGGCGAATCCGTTAACCAAGAAATTAAATTGGTGTGGCCTAACCTGTTAAAAACTGCTGTCATGCAGTGAAAATACATCTCAGAAAAAATACAGTGAAAGTACATCTCCATATTATCTGTTAAAAGTGCCATCCAACTGCAAAGTACCATTGTCATAAAACCACTTCCTTTTTATAAAAGTTCAACATATTTTCCAATATTTGTAGTGGTGACAATAAATACAGTAGTGATCTGTACATTACAATATAACAGTCCATTTGAGGAGTTCAAAACAGCCTAAACACAAGTGTGCAGAAATATTCACGTTTCCTTTGTCTTTAGTTTGATTAATTACTTCTGTACACGTAGCCACTATTGGTCATGAGTGTGTTGTTTGAAACTATGACTGTAAAGTTTACGCTAGATTTTCTCCTTCATGTTGCATAGCTCCATCTGGTTACCCGAGTTTTTTGGCCACAAAGGGATCAACACAACATTTCCAGGTTTCAGGAAAAGTTATGATTTTATCAGTGAAAAGGATGATTTTAAAAACATGATAAAGGACTTTAATTTGTCAAGCAAGCCCTTATGGAATACCAGTAAGTGACAGAACTTTTTAAAAAGATTCTTCATTCTTGCAAAACAGAACAATCCCTAAAAGCTCTCTTCCATTCATATGTGTGTTACTGAGTTCAAGGCACGCCTAAGATTTACAAAATTTTGAGTTATTGCTACCTTGCAGTGTAATTTGTGCAGAATCTATCCATCTTTCTTGGGCAACTGATTTCCATTCTATTTTCTATGTTATTACTATTAGGTCTAGACATCAAATAAGAATTAGCAAACTTGTCTTGTGCATCTTTGATTGAAAATGTCAGTAAAAATAGCTGCACAGTACTTGGATGTCAGTAATTCCAGCTGTACAGTAACAGTTACAGTAACAGTTCTGTCTATCCCTCTTCTGTAGCATATAGATGAGTGTGTTCATTGGTAGCCTTTTGTTCAAACCTACTATAGTTGTTGAGCCCCTTTCTTCCTCTTCACTATTTATGGAGAGGAAAAAAGAGACTTTACAGCTATAATATCAATAGGTTTACCATCAGCCTACCAATATACATGTAGTTAGTAATACCGTAGCCATTACTTGTGCATTTTTGATAGAAAATGTCATTAAAAATAGCTGCACAGTAGCTGGATGTCAGTAATTCCAGCTGTACAGTTATTGTTGTAACAGTAACAATCCTGTCTATCCCCCTCCAGTAGCAGTAAGTCCAGAGATTTAAGTATTATAGATCATTGGTAGCCTGGTGTTGAAACCTACTATAGCTACCGAGTATCTTCCTCTTCACTATTTATGGAGAGGGAAAAAGAGACCCTGCAGCTACCACAGTAGGTTTGGGTATCAAGCTACCAATGAATTACATTGTGTAGTAATAAAAAAACTTGTGCATTTTTTTATTAAAAAAGTCAGTAAAAATAGCTTTATGACTGTTATTTTCATTCTAGCTGTACAGAAACTGTAACAGTATCAGTCCAGCCTATCCCCCTCCAGTAGCAGTCAGCCCTGAGATGAGAGTGTTGTAGTTAACAGACATGTGGACGCTCTCGTGGTCGCGCAGCGTGCGCAGGTAGTTGAACGATGCCTTGTGGTCTTCGCTGGACAGGTTGAGTCGGTTGTAGATCAGCGAGAGACCGCTGTTTCTCGCGTCCTCCACGACTGCGACCGCCTGGGCGTTGGCGCGCGACGTGATCAGACTGGACTGGGCCGTGCCGTTCTGGGAGATCTCACGGGCTTCGTTTTCAATCTGTTCCACCTGGGATTAGAAATAAAAGGCGATCAGAGATGGCACACTTCACTCCTGTACCCATATACTAGTACTTCTATTGATCCTTAGGGATCTCTCACGCACAAAAGCAGCAGAACTGAGTATGTCAGTATGTATGGCAATGCTGTATTGCATACATTGCTGATCACAGAAGTAGTAGATGGTCATTCTTGTGTTACACAACCTCTTTCTGTCATGAGCAGATTGGAACTTGCAGCTATAGGCCTGATGCAAGAGAACCATTCAGAACTAGACATAGTCACATAGGAGCTCAGGCTTATTTACCACTAGGAAAATCAGTCGAATAAGAATTTAAGCTCAAGGTTCTATGTCACTATGGAACCAATTCATCACAGCCTCACAACAGTGGCCACTAGGTAGACAATATTAGTCTGACAACAGTTGGTCCATGTTGGCACATATACAAAGTGACATAAATCAACAGGATCAATATGTTCATAATTCTCCTGCTCAGAGATGTTGGTATAAGACTACAGAAGTATTGCTATATAGTCATTCATTATACATGTTAACCATTAGCCAGACCAAACTTGCCTCTGCCTCTGTCTGTTTCCTGACAATGGTGGCATCCTGCAGGTACTGTTCCTGTTCTGCATCCAACAGCTGTGTGAGGGACAGCAGAAACCTGTCCTGGACATCACTGGGGATCAGAACCTGGAACAGCAAAGGTACAGCTGTGTAAGGGGCAGTACAAAGCTATCCTGCACATGCACTAAGAAACAGCAAAGAATAGCTATGACAATGTAACAGTGGGGTTCAAGCGCCACTAACTTTTCCATTCCAAGTGGTCCGGACCTTTTTGAGTAGTCGTGTTAGTGCACTGGTTTCATAAGCTGGATGCCCAGGTTTGGCATGGGTTTGAGTCCCAGCTTTCCGGGAGTCAGGAACTCAGTCAACTCTTTCCTATTTGTTTCACTGCTTCCCACACTGGTGAGAGTGCCAAATCCTCACTGTTATTTATTTCAACAGCACATGGAATTATACAAAGGAACAGCAAAGGAATTAGCTTTGCCAAGGGTAGAAGAAACATATCCTGTACGTCACTGCGGATCAGCTCATGGAACAGCAAAGTTACAGCTAGCTACAACTAGTAGTATCACAAAAGAACAGCAAAGAAACAGCTTTATCTAGGATAGCAGAAACATGTTCTACATTGGGGATCAATGTATGGAACAGCAATGAATTGGTAAAATCAGAGACAGCATTCACTGCAATCAGCTATGCTTGGGACAGCAACAGGACAGCTATGTTAGGGTCAGCATACAAGATAGCAAAGATATACAAAGTATACAGGAAGGTATACTGACGTTTTGTGGTTGAATGTTGAACTGAAAAAAGAAAAGAGGAAAGCTCTACACGCAGCACTTCTGCTACTGTAACAGGATTTGACAGCAAATGAGGAAGAATATGGTGAAACAAGAAGCGTGTTGCAGAAGTCTACTGATTAGAACAAAGGCACAGTTGTACTACTACTACTTACCCTGCCTATCTGGAAGTACTTGACATCCACAAATAGCCCTTTGTCCTCTTTAGTGCAGTTGCTGTAAGGCTTACAGCCTTCCACACAGCCTGAAAACAACATAGAAACCTATCACTGAAGTGTTGGTAGTTGGTTCCACTGGTGGTGACAGAGAAGACAGACACTATATGTACAGTAATGCATCTACATGAATTTATTGAAATGTACAGTAATTTACAGGTTCCTTGTGCTAGGGAAATACAATGAACAGTGGGCTATGGCTTAACACATGACATCCTGTGACACTAGTTAGTCTTCAAGTTGAGTTGGAAACATCAGCCGGGATTTGAACTCATAGCCTTTTGGTTAAAAGGGAGGGTTGCTAATTACAGGACAACACATGCTAGACCCACACTTGTAAAGATTTAAACCTGTATTACCATACATTAGGAAATATCTTACAGTTACCCATAAACAAGCTTTTAACCAGAGCTCTGATCCACCTTAAGCTGACGTCACATTTTCCATGTGACAAGCTTTGGGTTATTTCAACTTGAGAAGGATCAGAGTGCAGATCAAAAGCTTGTTCCTTGTGTGATAGATCATAGAAAGCTTCAAGTCTTCACCACTACCTTCAGCAGTCGGGTCAACTGGTGCTTTTTCTAGATCAAGGAAGCTGTCTGTAGAAGAGAGATAAGAAAGACAAGAAAGATGAGAGAGGGGGGATACACACTTAGTTTGGAATTGTGTTCTCTCTGTAAAAGTGCCACCTACAGTGATTACATATAGCAGATAGAAGCAGAACTCAAGTCAGAAGCTCTGAATAAAATGTCTGATAGACATCGAAACGTAAACATAAGCAAGGTGAGAGAAGTAGCATGGTGCTGTGAAAGAAAATGCCACTGTCCTACCTTCAGTTAAGTCCACACAGTCCTTTTTACAGCAGATCCCGCCCAGCCTGAGTTTGACGGCGTCTCTCAGCGTGTCCTCCACAAGCTTCCTCTCACCGATGTACTGTCTGGTGTTGAACTGGGGTGCTGTGCCCTGGGAGGAGGGTGGGGTGATAAACATCTAGTAAGTAATATGTATCACAGTAAGGGGTATAGTGTGTGTGTGTAATATTTGTGTGTGTTACATCACAGTGTACTGAGTACTGGGTGACTGGAATATTCTTACAGGGATTTTAAATGAAAGAAAAATGTGAACAATACCTTATCAGACACACCTATGGTTATATTCATTGTTGGGAGCAATGTCCAGTTAGGAAAAAGTTTTTCCAAATTTTATTTAAAATGTAGGTTGTGTTTGTTTGGCACTTGATGTGTCAGTGTTTACAGATTGAGATCTCACGCAGATAGATCTGGTCAACAGTTTGTTACCTTGCGGTATGTCAAATTTCCTTAGCTGTCGTTTACCGGTAGTTCTTTTATAGAGAGCTGTTAAAAGTTTTTTGTTTTACATTAGTTTACCTTGATGGCATCGATGGCGCTGGTCCTGATGACAGGATGGTAGAACCTGTCGTACGTCTCGTGAAGCAGCGGCATGTCGTCTTTACGCAGGAAGTACTGGAACCGACACGTCACCTGGATCTGGGGAGAGGGCAAAAAAATATACATGTATACACAGAATAATGTAATAGATAATGTTAAGTCAACTTACATGTTGCTGTAAAGTTTTGTCTTGTCAGCAGGGCAAGCCATTTGTAATAGCGACTGGCTAGTTGGGCTGCCCTGGCTATATGGGTTGTCAAACCAATAAATATATTAAATATATTTATTTACTTACAAAATGTACTTGTTGAATTTTTATACAACTGAGTAACTGTGGAAAGATATGTAAATGATACACCTCTTAAAGAAGAGGACTCAGATGATGACAATTTGTAAATGACTTATCATTCATAACTTATTCACGCATCAATTCAGATACTCATTTATATACAGGTTAAACTTGCCTTCTGATTCATTCTCCATCACTGATGAAAGACAGCAAATACTGAAAATGAAATTTCTCACTCCTCAGAGTGCTTCCTCACAGTATATTTGTACAATGTATTATTGTTCTACCTGGATATGTACCATTCATCAACATGAATTTGTTCCTAACAGTGTTTTTTTATCACCCTAAAGCTGTGCCGATATCTTGACTTACCTCCAGTTTATCGAAGGAGAAAATGGCGATGTTGGTGAGCTCCTCAAAGTGGGCGTCGGCCTTGAACACCTTAAACTCATAGTCTGGTCCCACAAAATGTCTGCCGCTGCTGTAGACCCAGTCCAGACTCACGGTGCCTGTCGACTTCCTCTTCAAGAAACCATACTGCAGGGGAAGATGTTAAGTCATCTCATTTTGTAGGCTGTTTGTTGATCCCCAAACTGAAGATTATATGACCGACTTCCAGTTCCAACCATGTGGTTTTTTGTTACCAGTAACATTACAACGTAACAGTTAATTTCACCAGCACAAGGGTGGCAAAGTGGTCTTGTGGTTTAAGGCTTGCTGACAAAGAATTAAAAGGTTCTGGCTGGGGTCGAATACTTAATATAGCAAGGCATAGTAATTGGAAGCTGAGCCCATCCCTCTCCCCCCACTGCCTTTTACCTCCCCAACCGAAATCAGGTACTTTAAATTAAATTATTGTACACCTGGGTGGAGTGTGGAACGTCATATGAAGTGCCCATACCAAAAACACAACATCCAGCAGCCAGAAATCCCAGGGATCAGGTTAGGGTTAGGGTTAGGGTTATCTCCCAGAGTAAGACAGTTACCTGATAGTACTGTAGATCAGAGAAGCTGAGTGGAATCAGGATCACCACCAGTAAGGGTTAGGGTTAGGGTTAGGGTTAGGGTTATCTCCCAGAGTAAGACAGTTACCTGATAGTACTGTAGATCAGAGAAGCTGAGAGGAATCAGGATCACCACCAGTAAGGGTTAGGGTTAGGGTTATGGTTATGGTTAGGGTTAGGGTTAGAGTTATCACCCAGAGTAAGACAGTTACCTGATAGTACTGTAGATCAGAGAAGCTGAGAGGAATCAGGATCACCACCAGTAAGGGTTAGGGTTAGGGTTAGGGTTAGGGTTAGGGTTAGGGTTAGGGTTAGGGTTATCTCCCAGAGTAAGACAGTTACCTGATAGTACTGTAGATCAGAGAAGCTGAGTGGAATCAGGATCACCACCAGTAAGGGTTAGGGTTAGGGTTATGGTTAGGGTTAGGGTTAGGGTTAGGGTTAGGGTTAGGGTTAGGGTTAGGGTTAGGGTTAGGATATCTCCCAGAGTAGAGAGTTACCTGATAGTACTGTAGATCAGAGAAGCTGAGAGGAATCAGGATGACCACCAGTAAGGCAATGATGCCAAACGGGATCCCGATGATGTAGGCCCATTTACTCTGGTCTCCCATAGTGCTTCAGGCTGG